TGATTAAAACTGATGTGAACTTTATGTTCCATTGACGAGAAGCTTGTTTAAGACCATAAAGAGATTTAAGCAATCGACATGCCTTCTGCTTGTTCCCTGTGTCAATGAAGCCCTGTGGTACTGTCATGTATACTTCATCGTGTAAATCACCTTGTAAAAAATCATTGTTGACATCCATTTGGTGTATTTCCCACCCTTTAGCTGCAGCCATTGAAATCACTGTACGAACAGTGACCATTTTCACCACGAGTGAAAATGTTTCTTGAAAATCTAATCCTTCCCTTTGATTGTAACCCTTAGCAACTAAACGCGCCTTAAATTTGTCAATGGATCCATCTGCCTTGTACTTAATTTTGTAAACCCATCGACAACCAATGACTTTCTTCCCTTTAGGTAAGTCAACAATTTCCCAAGTATGATTATTATTTAAGGCGGTGATCTCGTCTTTCATTGCAGCCACCCACCTACAATCTGCAGCAGCCTCGGCATAGGTGTTAGGTTCAGTTTCAAGAGAGAACTTAGATATAAAATTTTGATAAGAAGATGACAATGCATCATAAGCAATAACATCAAAGATAGGATATTGACAGTGATGAGCTCTTCCACCTATGGTTGGAGCGTAATCCTTGAACCAAATAGGTGGTCTTACTGATCTACCTGACTTTCGAGTTTGTGATGGAAGGGGACCAATATCATCAGAATTAGATGATGCAGCAACATCCTCTAACTGGTCATGAGTAGAAGAAGGCTCAGCAACGATCACAGTAGTCTGAGAAATAGAGGTGTCCTGATCCATGGAAACATCTACATCGGCAGTCGTGACAATTGGTGTAAAACAATGAGGTTGCAAATCCTGTGGTATATTTAATAACCGAAAAGGGAAAATGTGTTCATTGAACATGACATCTCGACTTACAAATATTTTGTGAGTAATCAAATCAAGAAGCTTATATCCTTTCTGATGGGAGCTATAGCCAAGAAATACAGATCTGATGGACCTGGCGCTAAATTTATCCTGGTTAATCAAATTAGTAGCATAACATTCACAACCAATAACTGTGAGATGAGATATGTTTGGTTCATGCTTATATAATAACTCAAAAAAAGACTTGTTATTTAACAAAATATAAGGAATTCGATTAACCACATACACTGCTGCTTCAACACATATGCCCCAAAACTTAGCCGGTAAGTGACTTTGGAATTTAATAGCCCTGGCAGTTTTCATAATATGCCTATGTCTTCACTCCATAACGCCATTTTGTTGTGGAGTGTAAGGGCATGAGCACTGATGAAGAATTCCAAAAGAACTAAAACAGATCACTACAAGTTTTGTTGACAAATTCTGATCCATTGTCAGATCTAATGACTCTAATTTTGCAATCAAATTGAGTAGACACCATAGTAATGAAGTTTTTAAGTAGGAAAATCACATCAGATTTCAACCTCATAAGGAAAACCCAAGTCCATTTAGAGTAATCATCTACAATGGTAAGAAAGAACTGCATGCCATCATATGTTTCAGTTCTATAAGGACCCCAAACATCCATATGCATCAATTGAAACAAAGTATTTGATTTACTAGTACTAACAAGAAAAGGCATCCTCGTTTGCCTAGCAAGTGGACAGACATCACACGTATCCAAATGAAATGTCGAATTATTATTAAAGCAAGTAAATCTCCTAAGAACTCTCATTGGGACGTGCCCTAATCTTCTATGCCAAGTCACTGCATCTACTGATCCTTGTACTGCCTAAGACTTCTTGAGAATTGTATCATGTTGTCCTTTCCTTTCTTGTAAAATGTACAGTCCATCGTCCTCTTTACCAATCGCCCTCACATTCCCAGTGAGTAGGTCCTGAAAAACACAGAATTCGGGGAAAAAAGAGACAACAATTCAAATCTCTTATTATCTCTGAAACATATAAGATATTGAATTTAAACACCGGCACACAAAGCACATTCGTAATATGTTCACCTCCATCTAGCTGACAGGTTCCAATTGAAGACACCTTAGTTGTCTCTCCAGTTAGCAACTGTACCGACCCTGTGTTACCTACTTGTGCACCATTTAACATCTTATCATTACCAACCATATGGTTAGTGGCCCCTGTATCAATAATCCAAGTGTAATTATCCTGACCATTATATGTTATATTACCTGCAATGTTCATATTGGTCCTGGCCATGCTTGCACTTGCTTCTCCAAAGCTTGACTTACGCAAAAGTTGCTCAATTTGAGCACACTGATCGGGGGGAATTTAGGAATATTATTACCTTGGATTAGTTGGCTTTGTTCAGACTGCTTGCCATATCCAGAAGAAAGTTGACTTTGAGGAGGTTCTCCTGAATGTCCATTCCTTATTACCACATTAGCCTTCTTTTTGCCTTTGAAATCTGCTGGGTATCCAATCAGTTGGTGGCAAGTCTCTCTGAGATGACCTCTAAATTTGCAATGATCACAAAACTTCAATTTGAAACATTGCTCCCTAGTATGTCCTCGCATATGACAGTAGTCACAATACAAGTCACCAAATTTTCTAGTCGGTGCACCTCGTGCTGTGAATAAGGCTGTAGGATCCATACCCTCACCAGATGAAAAATGCCCCACTGATGATGATTTTTTATTTTCATCTTGTACAATAAGGGCATAAGCTTGATTCACGCTAGAAGGTGTTGTTTTTATCATATTTGACCACGAGCATTGCTATATCCATCGTTCAAGCCCATGAGAAATTGTAATAGTCTCTGCTTTTGAAGATTTTCACTATACTCTTTCGATTTCGCACAGTCACACGAAGGCAGAGGTACAATTGAGTCATATTCATCTCAAAGATCCTTTAACCTAGAATAGTAGACAGAAACATGCAAAGTACCCTGCACTAGTGTTGCAATCTCCTTGTGTAGGTGATAGACTTGCGATAAATTGATTTTATTAAATCGCTCTCTAAGATCCTCCCAAACAGAACTAGCAATAGACCGAAATAAAATTCCAAAGAGAAGGCCTTTACTTACATTGCTCATAATCCATGAGATCACCATCGCATTACTTCTGTCCCATTGATTCACCAAATCAACACCAAACTTCTCACAAGTAATTGATCCATCAATAAATCCGATTTTGTTCTTTGTCAAGAGGGTGAGCTTCATCGCTCTACTCCAAAGTGTGTAATTCTCCATGCCGGTGAGCTCAATTCCCACTTGCACAACTCCAGGCGTGTCCGAAACTCCCAAAAGCAGAGGATGATTATGATCAAAACGTACAACCATTATAGATCTGGAAAGAAGAATCTCTCGATTTCTTGTTCAATCCTTACAAGAAATCCCTAGATCTTACTAACTATGTTGCTATGATACCATGTAAAGTTCCATGCAAGGAACTTTCCTTGAGACGAAAAAGAAATGCTAATGGAGACTTACAGTTTAAGCAGAGAAGAAAGCAATTCATTGAGTAAAGCTTAGATTGAATTAATATATGATACAAGGCATCTATATATATCCTAACTATAGTAGGATGTAGAACTAATCTATAGTTAACTATGGTAGAGTGTAAAACTAATCTGTAGTTAGTTAACTAACATACTAATACAGCCGGAATATTAGTGAATTAACTAACTAACTTCAGCTAACTGCTTATCCTTAGTGATAGTTGGATCCTCAATATTCTTTCGGTACTCTTAATTGGTTATAAACTTGATTTGAGCTCTGAACGAATAAATTAATACTTGTCTCTAGTAGTGGATCTTCCTGATACAAATTCAAATTAGTGAGCTCCTAAAGCAAATATCAAACAGGTACATACTGTTGGGTTTGAAAGTGAGGGTGTCATGCAAAAGCTTACAATTGCAAATAATATGATTGATAAATTAGATGACAAAAACTTGTACTAAAAAACAAAATATTATTATACGGTTTAGCCAATCGGCCTACATATGAAAAATTAATAAAAAGAAAATATTAAAACTTTTGAGGAAAAATCTCTCCATAAACAAAACTCTTTAAAGAACTACTTGTGGATGTTCTTGTTATTCTATGAGAATAAGAATCTTCAATTTATAGATCTCCAAGCTTTTCCTCTAAGGAAAGAATAAGCAAATTATGAAAGAGAATTATATTTTACTTTCACAAAAAGTAAAAGCAATTATGATAATGCTTTAATTTTCTTTTAGGAAAAATAAAATCCAAATAAGATAAGAAAATTAGGGCAAAGCCCTAACACATACCAGGTGGAGTAAAAAAGGAGAAGAGAAAAATTGTGAAATGTAGCTGAAACCCTAGCTACAGCTAATTAAGTAGAGTATTTGAGCTTTAATTAACATGAAAAAATATGGTTAGATGATCGAAATCCATTCACCCTTAACAAATTGCATGTGGAATTGGAGATGAAAGTATATATATATCCCATCATACAGGTCCATCTAAAACAAATTAACATATAATATAAATTTATATTGATAATTACTCCCTATGTTTCATATTAGTTGTCACGTTTTCTAATGAAATCATAAACAAAAGCTCATTTTTCTATTCTTTACTATTGAGACTCACCAAAATTGTAGTAAAAACTATGGGAACTACATTGTTTAGATTAGTTCCTCTTTTGTATGGATAAACGTACCCTATTACTAAATAAATAAAATCCTTCCGGTTTTTAAGAAAAAAAAATTGTAGTAAAACTAAGGGCCGCACAATTGCCTTTTTTTTTTTTGGTTTCCAATTTAATTTGGTCTTTCAGATTTGGTAGTTGACTTCAAAAGTCTTCAACTTTAAGAACTGGTCAAATTCAAGAAACAGTTACTATTTTGAAAATTATTAGAACTTTATTTTTTGTCATTTCATAATTAATCAGCTTACGTTCTAATTCATATAATAAGTGAAAACAATGTACGTATTTCCACGTAACATCATTTATTTTATTTAAAAAAATTCCCGCAATATATGATTAATTATTTCTACTAATGACTTTTTCCCTCAACTCTAAATTAAAAAGGTTCATTTTCAAGAAAAGACAGATTAATTACTATAATTAAACTTGACCCTTTCATCAAAAATTAACGCTGAAACATGCATACATTTTTAGGCAAATATATACTTTCCTTTTTGGCTAAAGTCCAACCAAAGTAATATTGACTTTAGAATATATCCATAAAATATATTAATTTTAATTTTCACATGCAAGTTGGATTAATAAATTACACACATTTCACATCAAAGTGCAATTTGAAATTCAGAAAAATAATAATAATAATTCAGTGGTTGAATAGTTCATTGTGGTAAACTCTCCTTCTTGCCAGCTAGGTTTCACCTGCTTATGATGACCAAAAACTCAAACCAACCAAAAAAATTATTATTTTAAAATAATAAAAATTAGAGGATGAGAGAAGAAAACGAAAGAAAGAATTTTTTTTACTGTAAAGTAAATGTGAAACAGAGAAAAAAAATTGAGAGTTCACAATGACCTGCTTTTTAACTACTGAGTAGTGCTAAATAATGTTAGATTCAAATCTAATGTTTTGCTCAACTTTACAGATACAATAGCATATTATTTTCTAACATTTACGACTAACATAATTTTTTTTGATAAGAATATGATCTAATTAAATTCATAAATTGTAAGAGAAACAAAAAAAAAAGGACCATTTATTAAATAACTATTCCAAAAAGGGACAATTGACAAAAATTCCGCCTGTATTGGTCTGTGGCCTTATTGGACCAGGTTTGGCTAAAAAAGAATAATAACACACCATATTCCGAGTGTCTTTGGATTGACTTAACTTTTTTGGAACCCCAGGATAACCCGCAGATGTTATAACCTCTGTCACAGTCTCTGCCCTTCGGGTGAGCACTTTGTGCGCACTGAGTAAACCCACCACTGTGTAATAGCCTGCAAACCACACGGGAAATATAAATCACACTAGGCAAGCCCTATGCGATAGGCTCGACTCAGGAGGTTGAATTAACTTATTCACACATTATTCAATAATAATTAGTAGAGCGTCTTTTCATTTTCAACTCTAAGGTTATAAGTTTGAACATCAATGAAGCGAAAAAAGTGGGAAAGGTAGAATACCAAATAGCATAAAAATAAGTAGTAGCTAGGGCAACCAGGACTTAATTAATTTTGATAAACAATAAACCTTAAAACTTTCAATTAGCAACTAACTTAGTTTTACCGCTTCAACAAGAAAACGAGTAGTTAATTTCCTTGCTATCACAAAATTTCAAAGATAATCTCTATGTAATTAAGCTCTTAAATTATCCACAACTAATATATATAAATATATGAGAATAAAAAAGAACAAGGAATTGTGCAAAACAATTAGTACTTTTGGTAGTATTATTTAAGTTTTTTTTTTTTTTTTTAGTATTTTCAATCTATGTTTATACATCCGATATTAATCTTATACATAGAAAATCATGATATTAACAATATAGAGTATGATTTCTATTCTAATTACCCTATTACTTTAATACCACATAACCAAATAATTGATAAAAATAATATCAATATAATTAATCTAATATTATTAATACACTATATTCAATAATATTTTTATACACCTTATCAAACAACTTCTACTATATTATGAATATTCCACTATTAATGAACTTTCCCATCATAAGCTACTGAGTCAATGCATGAAAGACATGCAATACCAAATTAAAAGATATATATATGATGTGTTTAGATAACAATGTACTAACTAATATAAGTACCATTATTGTTGTGTGTTCATTGTTTCCAAATTTCTAACTAACATATTTCTTAATTCTTACTTAATTATTCTTATGGTTTGGTTTTCCAAGAAATAAACCGCCCTCTATCATAATCAGTTTAATATAATTGGACACTGCCAGTCCCTCCTAGCTACTTGTGTTTTAAAAATCATAACTCATACTGATAAAAGTTCTTTTTTTAAATAATAATAATAATAATTAACCTACATTAATTTCTTCCTTTCAATTTTCTGAAAAATAAGGTAGCCTTCTTTTCCTATTACAGTCAACTAGAATAATTGCTATCATCTATAATAATATTTTATTGTGTAAGGTCAAGTTTTCTTTCAATTCGATTTTTATTATGTTATATTATATATTTGTTTATAACAATATTTCACAATATAAAACAACAAAAAATAGGCTTAATTACATTGATAACCTCTTAAGTTATAAATTTGTCCCAAAAAACATTTAGATACTTAAATTACGTACGATTTGTTTCAATTGAGGACTTGAACATATGATAAAATATTTTTATTAAACTCGGTTCAAATTTTTTACATGTGTTCTTAAATGTCCATTATGTAGATAAGCCACTTAATGTATGTAACTTTATGAAATTATATGTATTACCCTTAATAAGTTGTAGAATCTCAAACATATTCCACTTAAGGATATTGTGTATAATTTTAAAAAAAAGACATATTTTATGTGATTAACTCATCTACGTAATGATACCTGAGAACACACACAATTTTTTTATCTTAAAAAATTGAACTAAAAATATCTAATAGGAACACATAAGTGAATTGGAACATGCTGTACGTAGTTCCAGTGTCTAAACGATTTTTTTGTGTGGCAAATTTAAGAGGTTATTGATATAATTAAGCTAAAAAAGTATCCGGACAAACAACACCGTTATAAAAGTTACACCGTAAATCCAACCTTTGCCTTTCCATGACTCTAAAATCTCCAAAAGTGCCTAGGACATTGAAAAACATGATGTGTGTATATACAAAATAATCCAATAAGTTTAGCTAGTTTAATACTAATCCCCTAAATTAAATTACTAAAAACCGTGTTTTTGGTGAGATCAGTAGCTAATGTCCATCAAACTTTCTAACAATTTGTACAACATCATCATTTTTTGTCTATAATGTATAATATACCAATTTCCATATCTTATTTTGTTTAAATTAAGGATATAGACATTAAGGCAAAGAAAACTCTAATTAGTAGTACTTCCCTTAAGAAACCTCCTAGGATTATAATAATTATAATCACCAACTAGCAAATTATTTTCATAAAAAAGATCAGCATTAAGTAAGATATGGTCAATTTTTGAATATCCTAATTATAGTTGTCTAGTTCCTAATCACTATTTAATTTCATTAATTAAATAAAATATACTCTCTCTACCATCCACTTAGCCTCCACCAAAAGCCATTTAAATATCAACCCTTTGTGGCATCTATCTAAACATATTCCAACATTAACTTGTCTTAAACCCTAAACTCCTAAAACTCATCACAAAATCATGAAACTCATCAACTTAGCCCTTAGTGGCTTCTTGTTCATCATTTTCTTCTTCTCAAAACCCTCATTTCAAGCTTCAATCAAATATGAACCAAACCCTAGACTTTTCGATGCTTACATAGCTCTACAAGCTTGGAAACATGTCATGACTTCCGATCCAAGAAACTTCACAAAAGATTGGTATGATTACAATGTTTGTAACTACACCGGGGTTTATTGTGCTCCAGCTCCAGATAACCCTAATATCACCACTGTTGCTGGTATTGACCTCAACCATGCAAATATCTCCGGATACTTACCTGAAAAACTTGGTTTATTGACTGATTTAGCCGTCTTTCATATAAATTCCAATAGATTTGAAGGCTCAATCCCGAAATCTTTTTCTAAGCTTCGAATTTTATTCGAACTTGACGTGAGTAACAATCTTTTTTGTGGTGAGTTTCCTTCCGTTGTGTTATCTCTTCCTTCTTTAAAATTTCTTGATATTAGGTATAACCAATTCGAAGGAAAAGTCCCTTCAACCCTTTGGGATCGAACACTCGATGCTCTTTTCATAAACAACAACAAATTTCAATTTTCATGGCCTAAAAACTTAGGTAAATCACCCGTTTCTGCTTTGGTTATGGCAAATATTAATGTAACGGGGTGTATACCATCAAGTATAGCAAAAATGTCGAAAACATTAAATGAGATTATTCTCTCGAATTCGAGTTTAAGTGGATGTTTACCACAAGAATTAGGGTTATTGAAAAATGTTAGGGTTCTTGACGTGAGTTTTAACAAGCTTGTTGGTGAGTTGCCGGAATCAATTGGTGGAATGAAGAAATTGGAACATCTTAACGTGGCACATAACAAGTTTTCCGGTGAGATTCCGATGAGTATTTGCTCATTACCAAAGTTGGAGAATTTCACTTACTCTTATAATTATTTTTGTGGTGAACCAAAGATTTGTCTCAAGTTGAAGGATAGAAATGATAAGAAGAATTGTATACCATATCGACCATCGCAACGTTCAGAAAGTGAATGTAAGACATTTTATTCACGAGGTCCGGTGGATTGTAGTTCATTTGGTTGTAGATCACCACCACCGCCACCACCGCCACCGCCACCACCA